GGTGTGAATGTGAAGGAAGATCCCCGACCAGGGGGGGGGGGGAGGGGGGCAGGGAGGGGAGGAGGAGACGAGCGGATGCGAGGCCCTTGGAGGGGGACGGGTGCGCGGGTATGGGGGCGTGCGTGGGGCAGGGGATGCAGGTGTGTCATTGGGGAGCACAGGGGCTCGGCCCGATAAAAAGGCTCGCTGGCACCGTCGGGATTGGAGGGGGGGGGGGGGGAGACTTTGGGCCTGTAAAAAAGGCTCCCGGGCCGAGGGGGGAGAGGGGCTCATTGGGGAGGCCGACACCGGGGCCAAAGTAATCGGGGCTGCGATCGAGGTGATCGAGAAAAGTCGCCCAATGGGGCCAAGGGGCGGGGCTTGGCCCGCCAGTGGCCCCGGGCCCCCAGGACCCGGGGGATCTTGGGTGCGTCCCAGGCCCGAGAACGGCAAGATGGAAGCAGCAGCCCGGGCGCGCCGCCCGGCTGGGCGGGGGCCGGGGCGTCCAATCGTAGGCCGGCGGAGTGGCATATGTGTGCCGGCACGCGAGGCGGAGCCACGGACTCGCATTGGCCGGAGCGGGGGGGGGGGGGGGGGCCCCCGGGCGGGCGGGGTTCCAAACCAGCGGCGCGGGCCGGGTGTGTGCGCGGTGCAACGACGCGTGCCCCGGTGTTGTGCTCGCATGTGCGTGCGCATGCGCTGCCAACACATAGAGGAGGCCCACCGCCTACGAGGGAGATGCACCTGGCAGGCCTGCCCCCGGCGACGCCAAAACCGGATCGTTTCGGGCGGAAATTCCCGAGTTGCGGCTTGCCGGTGTCCAGGCGCTGGTGCTCCCCCCGCCCCCCCGCCCCCCCCCCCCCGGGGCGTCGGCTTACAGCGTGCCGCCCCGTGGTGTGCCTGTGTGCTTCTTCGCCCCAACGGAGGGCCCGAGCCGGCGCCGGACATGTCCGGCCGCGGGGCGGTGCAGGGGGCGGAACCGCACACGCACCGTGCCTTGCCATATGTACGCACACAAGAGCACGCAGCGGCAGCCCTGTTGTTTCCCCCTGACTCCCCGGCTGCGCCCCTGCGTGAGGTCTCTCCTGGTTCCTCCCAGTACCCGGGCCCACGCTCCGCCGCGCTCCCTTACGCCCCGGCCGCCATATCCGCACTTGCTGTCCCGGCGAAATACCCTCCTTCAACCAGGTCCGCTCCCTCCCTTTCTCCTTCTCTCTGTCTGCCAAGAGAAGCAGTCCGTGCAGGCCCCATTTCCCACTCGTTTGACCAGAGAGAGAGAGACTCAGCCGCCTGTATAGGCCGGTGGAGGGGGGGAGGGGGGGGCGCGCGCGGCAAGGAAACGAGGGATTCTGTCAGAAATGACAGGACTCCGCAGAGGGAACAACGCGCGCGCCTGGCCCCTTTTCCTGGGGAGAGCCCGCAAATGCAGCAGGCGGATGCCCCGCGGGGAGGGGGAGAGCGAGCGATCCTCCTTGAGCACTGCCCGACTGGCGGCTGGGCACTTCCCACCTCGGGGG